AGCATGCTACAGGCCTAATATCAGTACCCTGGGCCTTTCGGTTATTGAGAAGAAGTTGTTTGAAGATTTTAACATATTTGACCCCTGTGACCTTGAAAGTGGGTCAAGGTCATTTATTTGAACAAACTTTGTAGCCCTTTATCCCAGCATGCTACAGGCCTAATATCAGTACCCTGGGCCTTTTGGTTATTGAAGAAGTTGTTTAAAGTAAAAAAATGACGATGGACAGACGGACGACGGACGCCGCACCATGGCATAAGCTAAATTGCCCTTCGGGCAGGTGAGCTAAAAACAGATAATTATTTTTCAAATGTAACCCCCTGCCCTCCCTCATCAGCCCTTCTTTTTATTTAATTCCTTGCATTATTGTTTCAATCCTCGGGGAATTTCATGCCAAATATCAGTAAGCATCTCAGAACAAATATTGAAGGCTATACATTAATGAGGGTCAACACTTACACCAAAACGTAACTTGCCAAAGTCAACAACAGGATGACTACACAAGCACACCTATTCTTTGTAAAGGCAACTTAAAAGTAAAGTCTAGTGTTTTAAGCATTACTAAACAGAAAACACAAAATGCAAATTTTGACAAATTAATTACATTTCTTTACAGCAAGTACAATGTGAGTCATTTTTCATTTCAGGAAAAAAGGATCACTGGTACAATAAATTCATTATTCAGTCAGCTAGTTACTGTCTACAGAACCATAGATGGTTAGTAGATTAAAGGACGTGTGGGCTGCGACATTATCCCCTAGATGTCCTAAATACCCTACAGTTCTATAGAGAATTCCCAACTGACTATGTTACTAATATAAGAGGTCATTAGTGAATCCTTTGGGGTTTACTTACAAAATCAAATTAGAATTGACATAATAAGAAAGAAAAAAAAGAAAAAAAAAGTTTATAAAGATCCAAGAATTTAATCCGCTGTATAGTTCATTACTAGCCCATTATATGACCATATGGGATCAGTAACAAACTATATAACTAATATTTCAGGATAAGAAAACAGAGATAAAGACTGTAATGGGACAATAATGGAGGACCTTTATTACTACTGTTCCCTCATTATCCACATTTAGTTAATTATTTTTATCAAAAGCAGAGATCGTCAAAACTTAATCAACATTATGTATCGGATGAACCATCATCATAAGTTAACTATTAAACGTCTAGAAAAGCAAGAATATCACCAATGCATGCCCTATAAGGACTTAAACACACAAAGGGAAACCAGAAAGTAAGCTTATTGGAGAGCTATAAATATATTTGACGTTTCAGGCAATTCTACCAGATCGTGTAGCTTAAATAAATAACTCAAAATATGCAAAACGAATATCACTGGATACAAACAAAATCAAACAGCTACAATGCAGAGTATTGTAAACAAAAACATACAATGTCAAATTATCTTTTTCATCGTTTATTCTGTAAATTGAAAAGAAATTAAATGAAAAAGTATCCAAAACTACAACTGTCATCAGAATGGCAGACTTATACTGTTTCTAAACAAAGGGATATAATTCCATAAATAAGGGAGGCAACTCAAATTTATATACTTATTCACATCCCCTTGATGTAAGGGTTCTGTGCACCTAGTATCTTTTTAAATTTTGGTGTATTTTAAGAGTATTTAAAAATTTAAAAATTATAAACAAAGGGGCACTACTCTATTAATAGATGAGTTTACTCAAACTATTATAAATGTACATTATTCTAATCCTTATATTATAAGTTTTATGTGTGCGAAAAAACATTCAAAATAATGCATCACTTTGGCACAGTAGTGTGGACAATGTGTTGTAATAAAGGGGCAATAACTCTTACTTCAGATTGTGCTGTCTACATCAGAAAAGTTTCATTATTTTGCTGAAAACTGTAAGAAATGTGCTGACAAGATTATGCTGGCAAAATTTTTAAAAGGAGCATAACTCCCATGACATTGGTGGAATAAAATATTAATCAAAGCTCTGAGCTGCCTTTGTAAGGACATATCTGACAGGAAGTGAACAACCTCCCTGTTGTTAGGACATATCTGACAGGAAGTTAACAACCTCCCTGTTGTTAAGACATATCTGACAGGAAGTTAACAACCTCCCTGTTGTTAGGACATATCTCACAGGAAGTTAACAACCTCCCTGTTGTAAGGACATATCTCACAGGAAGTTAACATTCCTCCTGTTTTAATGGCAAATCTTTAAAGACACTTAAATGAATTTCACATCTAATTATGTAAATGAGAGCTACCTTCTCTTTGCTTCCTTGAGTTCATCCCTTATCTCAGCGGATGAGCCGGCAGTTTGTTCCTCATTGTCCTGTGGTAATGGTCAGCAGATCAATGAATCATTTCATCTCATATTTTATCATCTGATACTTTATCATGTAAGTTTTCTACACCAGTTGTTTTGTATCATTTCTGTGTTTAAGAGGTACACTCTACCATATACTTATCTTGATAATAAAAAGTTTGTTTACCTAACTTAAACATTTATATTACTATTAAAGTTGTGATTTTTCTTTTAATTAAAAAGAATAAGGACAGGAAGTTAACACTCTTCCTGTTTTAATGGCAAATCTTTAAAATGAATTAATAAACCTAGACCCTTTTAAACACGATACTGTTGATTATGTTCTTTAAATTAAAAAGAATTAGGAATAGAAATGGTTAAGAAGCCAGGAGTGATATATAGGCGTGAGAGGGAGAGACTTTATATTAACAAATATGGTATTCTCAACCAATTGAATAAAAAGGAATAGGAAATTAGTAAGGGAAATTATGACGTCAAAATGACATCTATGATGTCATAAGGTAGTTTCCTTAGTGATGGACATAAACATTGAGGCATTTGATAAAAATGGCTGTGCCATTGAAAAGTTGTGCCAAAAAAATAATATTTAATAAACTTTTTTAGTCTTAAAGACTGTTACTATACAAAACAACTGTAAATAAAAAGAGTAAAAATTGTTTTTCAGGTACTTACTATCACGGAAGTAACAAACTGGTCATACATCTGTATTGGGTTCCAGCCAGTAATGATGTCGTACGTTATCACAGAACCTATTAAACATGATACTGTTTGTTACAGGTTCCAGCCAGTAATGATGTTGTATGTTATCACAGAACCTATTAAACACATGACACTGTATGTTACAGGTTCCAGCTAGTAATGATGTTGTACGATATCACAGAACCTATTAAACATGATACTGTTTGTTACAGGTTCCAGCC